GGAATTTATACGGAAGAAATTACCCAGAATATTTATCATGGGTTGATGAAACTATGATTTCCTAGTTCTGAACTATCAAAACATTGTGAAAGGCTGATATTTAAGTTTTCACAGATTTAAAAACTTTTGTCTCAAGTATAATTGAATAACTATCGAATTAGAATGAAATATCAATTTCACTTAACACGTCAACAATTTTCAGGAATCAAAACTGAAAAAACCTCCAATTCAACATTTAAAAAAAATTGGGGCGGTTTTTCACTACCGTTTCCCAAGCTGTGTACGTATTTTAACTAAAAGTAAGACCTGCTAAACCTCCACAACTTTATTTCCAAGATATAGGATCAAATAAAAAATATATTTCAGCGCAAAAACTCTATCAACCAAAAAAAATGCGCATTTATATCAACAATGTTGATTTTTTGTTTTTAATGCAAATATAAACAAATGAGCTTTGCGGTCAATTATTCATGCGACAAGCAGTTAAACTACTCAAGTTTCAAGTTTTAAGTTAAAACATCACTCAAAAAACGTATGATAATTTTGAGGATTAATTTTCAAACCAGGATAAATAACAGGAGATTTTTTTCGTCCTATCAAATCGTAAGCGACAGTATACATCAACCCCAGTGCTGCCAGCCACTTAAGCTTTTCCATAAGCAAGCACACATGTCAAGTTGCACATAACACACCATCTGTGGGGACGCATTGTCGAATAAAATTTTTCTATAAAAAATTTTAAAGTGGTTTTAGCTTTTCTCAAACCTTTTCAAAAGAATTACCCGGAAGCTTTATCATGGGTAAATGAAACTATGATTTCCTAGTTCTGAACTCTCAAAACATTGTAAAAGGCTGATATTTAAGTTTTCACAGATTTAAAAACTTTTGTCTCAAGTAAAATTGAATAAACATCAAATTCGCATTCTTTAACAATTTCATTTTAATTTTCAACAATTTTCTGTAATCAAAGCTGAAAAAAGCCCTCCAATTGAATTTTGAAAAAAAATTCTGACGGTTTTTCACTGCTCTTTTCTAAGCTGTGTACGTAAATCAACTAAAAGTAAGACCTGCAAAGCCATCACAATTATATTTGCAAGATATAGGATCAAATTAACCATATATTTCAGCGCAAAAACTTTTTAATTAAAACAAATTGCGTGTTTAATCAACAAGGTTAATATTTTGTTTAAAATACAATTACAAACAAATTAGTTTTGTAAATCAATTATACATGCAACAACCAGTGGAAGTACTCGAGTTTCGAAACATTAATTTCGAGAAATAAATTAAAATATCACTCAAACAAGTATGAAGAGTTTGACGAATAATTTTCAAATTAGGATAACTAACAGGCGATTTGTTTCGTCTTATCAAAGCGTAAGCGGTAGTATACATCAATCCCATTGCTGGCAGCTTTTTGTGTTTTCCCATAAGCTACCGCACATAACCTTTTGCACACAACACACCGTCTTTGGGGACAAATTGAAGAATTAAAATTAACTTTACAAAGTTTAAAAATGGTCTTAGCTTTTCTCAAACATTTTTAAAAAAAATTTCAGTCAAAAAAAAATTGCATTGCATTTAAATGAAAGATGTTACCCGAAAACTTTATCACAGGGTTATTGAAACTTTGATTCCCTAACTCTGAACAGTCGAAGCATCGTAAAAGTCTGATATTTGAATTTTCACAGATATAAAAACTGTTGTCTCAAATATAATTGAATAACAATCAAATTAGCATATTTTAACAATTTCATTTTAAACTTCACCAAATTTCTGGAATCAAAGCTGAAAAAAATCCAATTCAACTTTGAAAAAAAATTTTGACGCTTTATCACTGCCGTTTCCCAAGCTGTGTACGTAATTTAACTAAAAATAATACCTGCTAAGCCACGACAACTATATTTGCAAGATATAGGATCAGACTAACCATATATTTCAGCGCATAAACTTTTAAACAAAAAGAGGGTTTTTATTTAAGCACATGATGAATTTACAAAAGCAGGGAGTTTTATTGGTTCATTATGTAAGGGATAATTAGTAGAAATTATCAGATTAAATTTTTGGTTTTATAGATAAAATTTTGTTGACTATATAACACAAAAAAGATAGTTCTTAAAAATAAATCTTACCTCTCTTTTTTTAGCGTTTTAGTGGTATTTTAATTCAAATCAAATTTTCTCGTTATTAGAGGGCAAAATTTACATCATCAATTTGATTTGATCAGGCTTGTTATTTCTGCGCTGCTTGTTTCCGCAAATACGTGTTTTAGCGCTGTAGTTTGCCACCTATAAGAAATCATGCTGACTGTTTCAATTGAATGAAAATTTATCAAAGTTTTGTCAAAAAAAACTTGTTTTTTAGTTCTAAGAAATGTTAAAAGCGAAAAAAAAGTAATATCACAAAAATTTTCAGTCAACATTTTGTCAAAACATTTTTTTTCAATTGTTTTTTTTTCAAAAGCTTGTCTGCAGCCAACAAAATTTTTGTCAAATTTTGTGGGTCTTTGTGGGGTTCTTCGACCGTCAGTAAAGTCATTTTATTGGACCCAAAAATTTCAAATAATTTATATAAAAATTCGCAAAGAGAAAATCGTAGATTCAACCCCGTTCTGCTAAAAACAAATTTGTCTTTTGAACATGTCAAAACAAAGTTTGAGTTTTTATCCCCAAAATGATCACTTTTGGCTTTTTTTAGTCAATGAAAAATAACGCAATAACTACTTTGTCCATCACTGACATAGGTGAACTTCTTACGTATCGCAAAATCTTCTCTCAAAATCTGCAAAATATTGTGTAGATTAATTTGTTTTGGTTGATAGACAAAAATGGTAGTTTTACTATATAACACACAAACTTTCTATTTGAAAACAATTTTTAAACGTTGTGCCCAGATTTTGTTGGAGAGTATAACCCTTTTAAATATCTTTTTGTTGAGCTACGTAAGAATTTACTCATTTGTTGGGCTTCATAAGAAGCTCACTTTGATTCATTTATATGTCAGTGATCGACTAAAAAGTTTTGGCGTAACTTTTGATTGGCTAAAAGCCCAAAAACGATCCCTTTTTGGGGTAAAACATTAGGCGCGAGTTTCGCTAAAATTTCGAATTTTGCTGAATTTCTAAGCAAGTTTTGTCATCATCATTTTCCACCTAATGTCAACTCAGTTTGAGAAAAACGGGTTCTTATGCTTTTCGTCCGCAAAGTTTAAATCAGTAGTGCAGTTAGTTGAACATTATATAATAATTTTAGTTCCTGCGAAACGCAGAGGAGCTATCAGTAGGCTTTAACAGTCCTCTCGAGGATAGTCCATTTGTTTTATCTCCCCACATTCCAGACAGTGTTATTTTGCTAAGCTGTTTTTTGCGACTCAAGGCCGTTTTTTTGCGTCTAGAACTTTTACGTGGTACAACTATTGCAGCCAAATTTGGTTGAAGGTAAATCTTTTTTTTTGACCGCAAATTGGGCACAGAAAAAGAATTTATCAAAATTTTTTGATTGACGAACATTAGTCATTTATTTCTTGCTCAACTTCAGGAAAGATCGGAAAAAGGACTGCCGTTTATGTTTAATAGCTCATTGAATAAAAACTTCTGGCTTATGAAGCTGAGCTTAGTGCTTAGTTCTTGCTATTAAAACTGTGATAGCAGTGTCGATACTCTTGAAAGGGCCACGAACATCTCTCCAAAGTTTTTATAATTTTCAAAATCTTTCAACATTTTTTTCAAAATAACATCTTATACTGTTCTGGGTGCGCTCGGAAGTCATTTGTATTTCTACATCCGGATTAACTAATTAATCATTTGCATATTTTATGGATGTGAAAAAAATTGGCTGATGCGGTAAATACATTGATAAGCTGAACACTTTGATTCAGAAATAGTTTTTTTTTGTGAAAAAAACTGCACCAAGCTCACAATTTCTGCCATATAACTATCATTTTTTGGGTTTTTGGCTATATAATACCTATATACAATTTTAAATTTCAGCCCTGTTTGATGCAGATTTTGATGCAAAATCAGTTGGAAAAAGACTGTGCACACATCAGTATATCGATATGCTACAAATAATAGCCAAGCTCGGATTTTTTGTTGAAATATAGAACTTTGAATGTTGAACGTGTTATTTTGTACTGGTGGCATAAAAAGTGATTATGCAATCGCCCAGATATGAACAAAATTAGAGCAGCTAACACACTTGTTTTTTAAATGAATGCTCATAAGTTCGAGCAGACTGTGGTTTACTTTGTCCGAGTCAAGCGAGAAAAAAAACAAAAGCTCCGGTATATTTTTTGTTAAGTTTCTTAGTATGGTTTTTTGCCTATAAACTACAACTACGAACGATTTTTGAAAAAAACTACGAGCGCGCGTTGAAAAAAAACGCAATTTTTTGGTCAAAATTTTCTTAAAAGTGCCTAAAAACGCCTTTTTGGCCTGTTTTTTCCAACATTTGCCTGGGGCGCAGAAAGTTTGGCCCAAAGGGGACTTTTAGTGCTTCGGGAGAGTTCGAGAAATCAATTTGGTCGACCTACAAAAATATCCTAGATCCGCCCCTGTTTGTCTGAAAACTTTTTTTGGTGCTAAGAACTCAAAAACTTCTCAACTTCAGATACTATAAATTCAATACTCGAGCCAGTTTATGGTCACATTGCCTAACGCCAACAGTTTCCCTTCGGCTTAACTCAATCAATCTATTGATTAAAACATCCGTATTTTCAAATCTTGTTGATCAATTCAAGCTTATAATTTCTAATTCCACTCTCCTCAGCTCAGCATTTTCCGCAGACATGTTTACTGTTTAAAGAAAAATTAATATCCAACTTCATTTGTGAAACAAAAAACAGGTGAAAACAGAAAACGGGAGTTTTTCATCAATGTGGAAGAAAAAAATTCGAATATACCGTTTAATAAAAAGATTTGAAAGTTGTAGAAATGTTCTGCATTATTTAAGAGCTGCATAAATTGAACGGAACTGAGTTTTTTAAGAATTGAATTAGAAATGAAAACAGCTGAGGCGCGTTTTATACCATTGCAACTGCCTTTTATGCCAAAAAGAAAATGAAATTACGCCAATATTTTCATTCTTTTTATATTTTTTAGTTCAAGAGTTTATTTGCACTGGGAAAAAACAACATAGGATAATTTGTCAACTTATTGGACAAAAAAGTTTTCTGCAGGCCAAAAAAAACGAAATTTTGTCAATTTTTCCATTCTCTGTATATTTCGTAGTTCAAGAGTTTATTTATAAAATGACTGGTAAAATCGATTAATTTGTCAATTTATTGGACAAAAATGTTTTGGCGGCAAACTAAAGCATGCGTGTTAATGATTTCGGCCGCAGTTTTTATCGTCTCAGCCCATTTCTATCTAGAAAAGATAACTGCGACCCAGAATTTTTACAAACCGGGGATAAATTTTACAAATCAGTTCAATCTATGCACATTGAAAGAGCACATCATCAATACCTCGGCCGCGGCGAGTCCGCAAAAGGAAACAACAATCACTACCACCCCTCACCCAGAGAGCAGTAGGACAATTGAGGTACAATTTTAAGAATACAAAAGGCTCGAGTTATTAATCTGGCGAGTTATTAATTATCTGGAGTTAATTAACTTTCCCCCATCTGAATTTCAAGTTCCAACAAAGCTTCAAATATCAGCGCGGAATTTTGAATATTTCAGCCGCTGTTTAAAGTTCCGGTGAGAAAATTTTCTATCAAAAATGACAAACAAGTTCGAAAAAAATGTATGTTTTTTCTTTGTTTCTGTTATACCCACGGATTGAATATTCTGTGTAAACTGGATTGACATTCTAAGTCTTGGGTAAGAAAATAAGAAGAGTTTGATCAACGTAAACATTCTGTAAAACTGTTGTCTGTTGGCTTCGGATCTGACCTCGAAAAGCATATGAGTGTCAGAAACTCATAATAACTAGTACATAACTGGTTAAGTTTAATAATTACGTATTTATAACAGACTTCTATAATTAATGTAAATATACCCATTGGTTAAGAAGCGCCAAGAGATTGAGTAAATAAAATACTATGGTTTATGTTTATGTTTTAGTACGCATGGCATCTAGTCCCTACATTGGGTTTTCTTCTTATATCCAACTGGATAACACTCCCCCTTTTTTAACTTGAAAAATACATTTTTTTTCATTTCCCTCGTTCTGGAATTTTGGAGTTTCCTTGGTAGCGTCTTTAGATGATGAATGCTTGTTTGGGTTTCTCGTTCTCTTTGGAAATTCATTGAGTTTTTAATCGGTGATTTTTCTTGTAAAAATACTCATTGCTGAATCGAAACTTTTTAGGAACTCGGCGTCAGGAGTGGTTCTTCGTGCCGGTCGATCAATTACATAGCGCGAATTGATTGCTCTTCCTGTGTGAGTAGTCAGTGGTGGCGGTTTCTCTTGGTGGCTTTCCTGGATTGTGTTTTGGAGCTTGTTGTCTTTTTGTTCGCTTGATGCCCTAATGTATTCTGGTATTTGTGAGTCCAACTGGATTTAAGTACATTCGACTGATGATGAGAGCGAAACAAACTCATGTGCTTCTTACCTAGATGTGGCGGCTGTGGTGTCTGTATTTTCCGGTGTTGGTACTAATTGTACTTGGCAGATTATATTCTTGCTTTTGGTCACTTGGTCTTCGATATTGCTAATAGGTATGGCATTTCCGAATTTCCCGGCCAAAGTATTTGTACGCGCCCTAGTAGAACGGCGACACTCTTGTTCAAATTCTTCCGGTGTACGTTTTTGGTTTCTAGTTTCTTTGCGGCTGATTTTTTCGGTGAAGGTGTTTTGCGGTTGAGTTCTTGATCGAACGCCAGAGAAATTGACGTATCACATTCGAATTGGATGTCTCCATTTGGTAGTTTGCTATTTTTCCTTGGGCTCCGGTTGCCAATTGGCTTGTATTGTAGGCAGGTTTTCTTTGTATCGTCCTTCTTTGCTGTATGTTTGATTTTAGGGATGGCAGTTTCAAATAATTTTTCCGGTCCCAACGCCCGTCGGCTCAGTGATTGTGTAAGTATCTGCTCGAGATTTTTCGGTGGTGGTTTTTTCGGGCTGGTCTTTTTTCGTACTTCAGGTACCGTCTGGTTTGTTGTTTGCTTAGGGTTGATTAAGTCTATGTTCGTTGAGGTTGTTTTGCTGCTAGCATGTCGTTGTTGCGCTGATTCGCACTGTCCCCTGTTTGTTTTGTTCCTTACTACTGAAACACGAGGTTTTGCTCTGGGCAAGTGTTTATTGGCAACGAAATCTTTAAGAGCTGCTGGTCTAAGTTTCCCGTATACACGTGGACCCGGTACGAACGCGAGACCATCGTGTCTAATTACCCGTGGTTGTTTTTCGTCCTCTCGAACCCAAGCTGTGTGGGGTGAATAATTAACAGTAAAATCATTTTTCCAAGATTTTAAACTGCGTCGCAAAAACCCCTGGTTTTTTTAATTTTCTTGCAATGGTACCGGTTTTTCGGGCTAATTGTTCAATTTTTTCTCCAAGTTTTGTGTTGATTGTAGTCTGTGGAGCTTTAAAACAATCTTTGAGGAATACTAGCGGTGCCCATTCAATATTTTGTTTTTCCTGGTTTGTTAGGGTACGATTAGGTTTTCTAATTCTCATTTGCGATATATCGTTAATTGTGTTTTCTTTAAAGAACTTGCGTTTTTCGTTTATCAGATCATATAGGATGTTAGATAAAGTAAATGCGCACCTATAGGGAACTTTTCCATTAGTTGACGATCAAATTCCTCATCACTTGTATCTTAACTGTTCGCGCCGGCTGGTTGTTGGTGGGATGTGTTTGTAGCTTTCTGCTTCTTTGTCCCTGATTCTACTACTGTTTTGTTCTCCGTTGTCCTGCTTGTGGCTTTTGAATGCCGTGAGGATGTTGGTGTGGGATTTATAGTCGTTTCTGGCAGGTGTTGGTGTTTGCGGTACGTGACAACTAAATCGTCTTCGCTGTTGGCATCGTGATTCCACATTGCTTCTGCCATTAGAGCTGGTTTTGTGAGTAGTCTTTGGTCTAAACAAGTGATCTTCGTCTTTTCCCAAGATAGGTTAAATAATTTAGGAGATGTGGCAATATTGCTCAACGGCGTGTTTGATTTTCTACCAAATTGCGCTTCAATTGGCGATATTTTTGTAGTAGTTTTTGATGTTATTTATAAAGTTTTAACAAGTTCGGCCACATCGGAAGCAAGTTTATACGGTCTATTGCTATTATCAATTTTCATAACAGAGAGTCGAGTTTTAAGTGTCCTAATCAGTCTCTTCATCATGCCTATAGAGCGGTGATCATCCAGTGGTACAAACTTTAGATTGTTTTTACAAAAAAGCATAAGTTTTTCGCCCTAAACACTTGTGCTTGGTCACATCGAATGTTTTTTGAGACCCCGTGGTTGAAAATGTGTGTTTGCATAAACTGAATTGTTGTGTCTGCTTTATTATTTGTTACTACTTTGACCGACAAAAATCGGAAAAACGAGAGAATCGATCGACCGCTACCGGTATGTACACTACTTTATTATTTTCGTCAGGCAGCGGCCCTGCGAAATCCAATTGGATTTCTTCGTGGGGCTCTACTACTGCGTCTAGCGCCATGAAATGATGTTTTCATGAAATGACATTTAAGTTTTTACCTTTTTGTCGGCACTCCTTGCAGTTCTGAGCCGTGGCCACGATATCCCGGTGCAGGTACGGTTACCACAGGTTTTTGGCTGCCTCGATCATCCCGCCTTGTCCCGGCTGTGTTAGGTGGAGTGAATCCACAAGGATTTGGCGCAGTTGTTTCGGTATAACAGCTCTGTAATCATACAGGAGTATTCCATCTCTCACTGAAAGGCTGTAATTGACGTTGTAGAAATAAGGGCCGTAGCATGATTTCAGTGTCTCCCATTTTTGTGATCGTACCATGTTTAGTAATGGCTGTAGCCTCCGGTCTTTCTTTGAAGCGGCCGTTATGAATTTATTGTCGAAGAATTTTTTTAAGTGTCGTCTATACATCAGTGAGTCCTCCTCTTCCGTTGTGGCTTTTTCTTAAAATTCTTCTGAGTAGTAATAATGACATACCGGACGCGGGTCTAGACAACAAGCCGACGGGACTTCAAGCCAAAGGGACTTCAGGCCGAAATTTAAATTTTACATTCACGCAAAACACTATTTTTTTAATCTGTAAAACGTTGCTTTTAAAATTTTTAGGCAAACGTAGACCAGAATAAAGGTTCTTCATGACAATAATTCACTTGGAATTGGCATAACTTAAAAATATCAGCCGGTTTTTGAAGCGCATAAATTATAAACAAGAAAATTTCCTTTAACAGTGTTTTTTTTTCAACTTTCCTAAGCATCATTTGGAAGCTTAAGTTTCATGAAAACGCCAATAACTACTGAAGAAAGATCATGAAAGTGAGTAATTATTCAAAAGAATTTACAATTGATCATATTTCATGACTTGATGAGAAATTTTTCGGATTGAAGTCCCTAATTTTACGATTCGGCTTGAAGTCCTGTCGGCTTAATGTCCTGCACCCATCGGACGCAGTGTTCAGTTGTCGGTTCATTATGTTTGCAACAGAATGTTTCTTAGAGATGATTGATGGATTCCCAAATTTTGTAAAAAGGTTAACGCGACTGAAATGTGGCAATTGAGTTTCTACAGTAAATAATGTTTGTGTTGCAATCGAATTTGAAGCAATGTCATTTTCGTTCCGGTTGAGCGATTGCGTGCCTAGAAGTCCGTTCGGATTTGAGGTCTTTGCTAGATTTAAGCTTGTGCTGCCTCAAAAACCAAGACATGCTATGAAATCGTCATTTAGAGCAACCACGAAATGTTCGTCCCAGTATGCGGGCGATTGAGGTTGCCCCACTGGATGTCTCAAAAATTAATCAATTGACCTCATTTTGCTACCCACTAGGTGTCTTATATACAAAAACAAATAGTAGTAACCAGTGTATGCATCTGGTTAGCCTACTTTGGTAAATTTTATGATTTTAATTGCATTGTAGAACGCTGACTAAGGATTGGTGGTCAGTAATTTGTGTAAATCTTCTACCATATAGGTAATATTTGAAACGCTCTATTGCTCGAACTCGTGCAAGCGGTTCTGATTCGTTTACCGAGTACTTATTTTCTCATGTATTAAGAAAGCGCGAGGCATAGGCAATTGTAGCCCAGCCATCTGGAGTTTCTTGTTCCAACGCACACCCAATACCGTGCAGGTACAATTTTAAGAATACAAAAGGCTCGAGTTATTAATCTGGCGAGTTATTAATTATCTGGAGTTAATTAATTTTCCCCCATCTGAATTTCAAGTTCCAACAAAGCTTCAAATATCAGCGCGGAATTTTGAATATTTCAGCCGCTGTTTAAAGTTCCGGTGAGAAAATTTTCTATCAAAAATGACAAACAAGTTCGAAAAAAATGTATGTTTTTTCTTTGTTTCTGTTATACCCACGGATTGAATATTCTGTGTAAACTGGATTGACATTCTAAGTCTTGGGTAAGAAAATAAGAAGAGTTTGATCAACGTAAAGTCATTTGT